ATACTATTATCATTTTACTATTTTCATTACTATTGATGTCTCTTTGTCTGTTTGTTAGTTGCTGTTTTTTTAACCATCCATACATTTGGCTGAAGTGCTGCTGCCAGTTACATTTCCCCCCTCTCTAGTACTCCTTTTTCTTGCTACTGCACCAATATATAGCCCATAGCCTCAGTGTTTTTATTTCCGTGATCTCCCTCATGTTTGACTGCATTGCCGCAGGTGTTGGCTTCCTTGGGATATCCCCCTGTGCCAAATCCGATTCTAGAATCACAGCTTTGACAATCACTCTGTTCATTACCTATGATACCAATTCTTGCCTTGGAAAAGTCTTTGTTATACATGGGATCATCATAGGCATCTGCATTGAATCCCTCCTTGTTACAGGTGAGCTGCAAAGAAGCAGAAGGACCAACAAGGCTCTTCCACGTGTCACGTCCCAGTGCGGTGTTACGATATTTCCCGTCAGCGATCAGTGAGTACAGAGAGTCGCCCGTCTTATTGATGACGATAAACCTGAGTTTTTGGTCGATCTCCATACCGAGACAAATCTTGGAGAAGGGCGTGCTCCAGTAGGTCGGTAGCTTGGTCTCTTTTGAGTCAAACCCAGTCTTGCCTCCTTCAGGTTGAAACACCTTTTTATCTTGCCAGTAGGTAGAGTCGAACTCAAAAGTGGTCTAAGAAAGAAAATGTAAAAAACTATTCAGGACTACCAGCCCGAAAGGTTACTCATCAGTTGTATCCCTATTGGTCTTTGCAGGAAGGCGCAGTGAACATATCAAATTACGTAACCACTCATCTATCGTATTCCGAACCAGTTTTCTCATGGAGAGTAATAAGTTTTAAAACAGTATTATAAGTAGGTAATAGGCCATTTCCGAAGCACCCTTGGCCCCTTTCTCAAAACGAGACATGGTCCTCAACAATTCCTATGAAAATGACTTTAATTTGCTTGTGAATAAAAACGTATTATCCGGTGATTAAAATAATGAGCACCAGGACTCGCTTTGAAAGGAAGAGGACGGGAAAAACTGACTTTTTGTCCATTAATTTTCATGACTGGCGTCCATCCTCCATCTCCGCATTCAAAATTTTCCATGTGGCAGAAAATGGGTACTCGTTTAGAGTCAAGGAGCAATGTAATTTCACCATTCGCTCTAGTTCTGTAGAGATAATATGCAGGGTATAATATTACATGTAGTGATAAATTAAATCTCTTTGTTAATGACCCACATTTTGACGCTAACCCTTTAAATACTACATCGATTTATAAGTCATGTGATGGGTGTTACCTTCCATATCCATTATTGTTAGAAACCGTTGCAATTTACATAGCTAAGCAATCCAAAGCACCATTTTATTCAGAATTTGATTGTCCAAGGGAAGTGCCATCTCTCTTTTTTCATTAATATTTTTTTCATGTTTTTCTCGTTTNGGGAGAGGGGAGGTGGGTTTGGAGGACTTTGGTTTGTCTCCGACGTCAGAATTCCCTGATCCTCCCATTATGCTCCACTGTACTCTCTTGATCCCCCTTGGAAAAACGAGTATATCTTTTGAAATCTTTACAAACGTAGGACTGCTATCCTGGTAAAACTTCGTCTATGTTTCTTTTTTGAAAGTGTACTTTTTGAATTGTACGTTATGCATGATATGGAAAAAATTTGGCCCACCCAACTGTTTATAGAAAAATCTAACCCTGTTGAGGACGACTGATCCACTTCCATTGCTCCTGAAAAGCATGCGATGCCCCCAAAATACTCCACCCCCCTCCCCCCTCCCATCTCCAGGGTGATAAATAATGACTGGGACTGGTTCCTTAATTTTTTTCTTTCGCATTACCCGCTGGTATATTGCAATCCTCTCCATAATATCCAGGTCGACAAATGCATTTGTAAGATCCCTGGCTATTTTTGCACTCGTGAGTGGGCTTGCAGTTGTGTCTAGCCTTGGTGCACTCGTCAATATCTGAAAATAAATTCAGAGCCTTAGCACTGTTAAACATCAATACGATAATTTCGAGTTCTGTTGACTCATATCGTACCAATTTGTTTAAAACAACCCCGCCCATTCCAGCACCAAGCAACACTCAAATGGGAGAGAGTGGGACAAGTTCGTCAATCTTCCTGACGTCTAGGTTTATATGTTCAAGTATAAATTATATATTATAATACCTCCATTACAATGACGAACCATGAATAACAAAGACGTACGTTTCTTGATTACCTGTTTCGCACCTCGCACCGATGAAACCAGCAGGACACAGACAGCGATATCCTTTATCAGTAAAACCACTTTGACAAGTGGCGTTGTTCTTGCAAGGACTTTCAACACAAGCACTCTAGAACGAATCAAAACCATAAAAGAGAAAATAGACGGCTTCTTTTCGGCTGTTTGCATCACTAGCTACTTTTTTAAGATATCAACCAATACTACTATGGATTTTCAAGAAAAAAAGTGATGGTGTAATGAAACTTGTAGCCGGCTGTTAAGAGAACAAACCTGAAAAATTTAGTTGTAAAAAAGTAAGATGACTACATATTGTTCCACTAACTAAATTGCAGTTACCTCAGATGCATGGTGGAAGAAGTTTTTCTCCTCAACCCAATCGCCTTCGTATCCTTGGTGTGTGACATTATTCAATTCACATTTGTACTTTCCATTTCCACCCGCTTGTTTCTCAAGATTGATGCTGACACAGTTGGATTCCATATGACACATAGTTTCGCAGAACTCCTGTACCATAACTTTAGCACTGCGGATCACATGGTTTTTGAGACGTTTCCCGTCAAAAGCTCCTTTAGGACCAAACTTCAAATGACGGCATTGGTCTGCATCAGAGAACTCTTAAGATATGAAGGGTTTCAGTAATGCGTTTTAGATAAACAGCGATATAGTATGGATTTTCAAGGGTAAGAAGTCTATCTACACGGAAATCATCTCTCACAGCCCCTTAATTTTTGTAACAGATTAAAATTTTTTTTTTAATTGTTTAGTCACTATTAACCAAAGTTAAGGTTGATTTCGGCACTGGAGACGGATAGATGTTTTCCGCGCACATTGAAAAACTTAACATCGAGAAAAAAAACTTGGATGCGTTTTTTGAGCATGTTGCTTTTTCACGACATCTTGGACATGTTGGAAAATAATCATTGGAATAGCAGAAACTGCACTGCACACCATTCAAAACTAACTAAATCTTACGGGTAAGGTAAGTTTCATGGAGTTGAAATTGAAGAGTATGAAGCATCCTGGTGTAAAAGCAGCTGTTCGGCAGCCATTCCAGACTTAGCGATGTACCAGTAAATATTTTTTCCGGCAGACTGAGAAGTTCCATTTGGTAAAGCGTTCTAACATTTAAAGGTGTTTGTTAGGGTCTGTTCTAACACTGATCTTACTATCTCTTTAGGATTCGAACATTTGAATTGGGTCTAAAGAAGGAAAACTCGTTATTGAAAAAGTTTCAAATCTAGCGAGCCTGATATCAATTAAGGAATCTTTGTGACAGCACACAAAAAAGTAGGAATTTCATCGTTTTTACTGACAAAATATTAAAATATCTATTTTCCGTGCCTTTCCTTTCAAACCGATATTTTAAAAAGGTATGGGTTGTAGCTGAAAGTATTTTAGATCGATCTCGACAGATAGCTGCAAACATCAATTCCAAAGCCTGCGCACCATCATAGAACCAAACTATTTCAGAGGCAACGGACATAAACATCTAGCATAGTAAGTAGAAAAAAAATGTTAAACAAACGCAAATTAAAGCCAGAGGCAAAGCTTAAGTCAAAATGCTACAACAAGAAAAGCGTTACTGTTGTTAAGACGTTGAAATGATTTTCGCCGATACCAACCTTGTGATCCGACTACCNATGAATAAACAAATTATGCTAAAAATCCCAACTGGTTAGAGGCAGGCCAGTTGGCTATATACTACCGAAGTGCAGCCATGGAGTTGAACTTAGGGGAGCCGAGAACAAATCCAGTGCGTAGCTAGGTGGAGGGCTTGAACCTGGGACCAAGAGTTTACAAGCAAAGCGCCCTAACCACTCAGCTTCCCAAGAATAGGTACCATAAGTGCCTCACTGTTAACGACTTTGCAAAATCCTCAATTTACTTGAATATGGTTGGTGATCCGAGTAAACTGCCTTATTTTTCCTAAATTATTTTAAAGAGTTGTAAACGAACACTTGGTTATAATTGGAAACATTTTCTTGGACAGTTATACATCAGCCAACCACAATGAGCATACTCAAATAAATCTCTCCGTCACAAAATATATTATTATACCATAACAATTGCAATGACTACCATCCCATGCGGGGGATTTCCAAAGTCATAAAGGTACCTGTCTCCAAGGCTTTTTCAGGGTGTATTTGGCGAAGGTTGAAATGATTAAGTGTTTAAAGATGGCATTTCTGAGCCTTTCATTCGATGAATACATTTTGTTTTTTCTGAAAATGCAATGGTTTTAATAAATTTGTATCAGGACTTCGTTTCATCCCATGTAGTCAGTAAATATGTTTTTGATTAATAAATTGGACTTCCACTTCTCTGTCATTCGATTTGGTAAATCCGTCGTGTGATAACAGAACGATTTGGACACCACATCGTACTATTACCATTTAGTAATCACGACGTGAGAATCACTATTTTACAATCAATTACTATGATATATTAATACTCTATTCAAACCAAAGCTTAAACATATTTTAAAGCTTTTTTGTCAAACGCGGTTTAATTTTTTTCTTCATATAAGCCACTTAAGCAAATGTCTGTTGACTTCAAATTTAGAACACTGAAAATACAAAGCTAATGACTTCTTAATTGCACAAAAAATTCATTTTTTCACGTTTCACTGTCTCTCATTTCCTTTCAGTTAAACAGGTTTAACTACACATGTTTTGCTAGTGTGATTGGGGTTCAAGTGAAAGAAGATTTTAGATGTCCCTTAAAACTGCAACACCATTGTAATGCAAATCTGATAACTCATCCAAACTCCATTCACTGAACCAATACATAACCCATGGCTTTGATGTATTTGTCTCNTGTGTTCCAGTAAGTGGACAGCTTTGTTTCCAGTCGGTCAAAACCAGTTTCCCCTCCAGAAGGATTGTATTTGTTATTATCAGTGCAATAAGATTTGCGAAAGTGAAAGGTGGCCTGTCAAAAAGAATAGGAACTCATCCGTTCATGTTTTCTACACTGTTTAAAATGATCTGTGATAGAGTTGTAGAGACGAGTTTATTCTAGCCTTGACGTGTCTGATTCCCAATACACTGATTGGTTTTTGTACTTAGAGAAACAGTCTGACATTTTAGCAGCAGCGAGATTCTGTTCAAGCTGTCGAAACGCTGGTCACTGTGCTTGTCAATGATCGGTCATACGCGTCCCACTGTAACTACAAAGCATATGTTTCGACAAACTAGTTTCGTTGAACTATTAGCGTTACTTGTACTTTCGGTTTAACTCATTCGGTGCAGGTATCTCATTATTAATGTTCTTATGGACGCACTCCGACATACTGGAAATATTGATCTGGCAACTGCATTGGAAGGAAGAAAAAGCTCAAACCTTGCTGCCGTCAATCTTCATTACAGGCGTCCAATCTCTATCTCCACATCCAAAATCCCCCATCTGACATAAAATGGAGACTGGTTTCTCGCTTACAATCAGAGTGACCAATTTACTCACGTTAAGCCTGTAACGGACAGAGTTTTAAACTTAGTAAAAATTGTGATCCAGTTACAAATAATAAAAATTGACAATGATAATTATAGTAATAATGATAATGATGATAACGGAGATACTAATAGTAATAGTGATAATAATGATGATGACACTAATAATGTTAATGATGACGATGATTAAGACAACAATAGTGATGTGGTCGTTGTTTTCATTGTCACAGTCTTCCGGCGTTTTCATTAAATCAACAATAGGTCGCTGCTGATGTTCTGTTAGAGAAGAACTACTTTAGAGTTTAAAATGTGACGTAGATTCTTTTCCTCTTTCTTTTTGTTTTGTTTTGTGTTCTCTTGTTTTTCTTTTGCTTTTTCTTTTTATTTTTTTAACAATCATTGTGAGGTTTCTTTAATTCTCTCTGCAGGCAATTCACCACGAAAGAAAAGTGACCCAAATAACTTAAAGGTGCTCTGTAATATTGAACAGTAACTTACGAATATTAATGGAAATTGTGACAAAGACTTGCAAAATAACGAGTGAGAGCTCATAACAATTTCCTGTAGACTCACTTGTCTGATGAGAGGTATAGCAATGGTTGTAGCGAAGAAGCAAGCAATCGATAGGCAGAAATTAAAAATCCCGCCTTCCAATGAAAAAGTCAGTCAGAATAGGATCGTCTTTAGGCGGGAAGCGAAGACTTAAATATGATGGAAAATAAATAACATTGCAGAGTAGAATTTAACAGAAGGAATTCTACAATTATCGTTCATAATCTAGAGATCTTCTTAACTTTCTCTGGAAACTGCTTCGTGTAGAGAAATCCACGAAAGGGAACAGTAAGTAGCATTAATGCTTTTCTGGCTTTAATTAAAAAGCCAAATTGTCGTTTTTTAATAAGTTTGTACCTTTCGTGGAGACAAATTTAAGTTGCGGTTTTAAAAGGGAAACTCTGAGGTCGAATCCCTGTCATCTCGTGCCAAACAGCTGCTTATGCTGTAATCACACACAAAGGAGGTGACGAACACAGAATGCATCGCTGAAGTTTTCAAAGTGCCGACAGATTTTGACTGATCAATAACCATTTTCAGTGCTTTATCCCCTGGAAATTATAAGTCTGAATATATTTTCTAAACCATAGAGAATAACTATTTTTTTTAGTTTGTTATAATGCAGAAGAAAGTGTCAGGACTGTAATGTTACAGTGTTGTTAATTCCTTGCTAGATGTATGACCAGTCCAATAGAAACTATATTGAAACTAACCTTGCGATTTGGGTATCATACAGCAGAGCTGCAATAAAGGAAGAAAGATAATAAAAAAATACATGGCAAACGTAGCTGGAGAAATTCCCTCGTGTTGTACACGAGAAACAAAGCTTTTAAGCGTTTTTCGACCCGACGTATGATTAATGTAGTCTTTAATAAATAACGATCTTCACATAAAAATAATTTATGTAGCAAAAGAAACTCAAATTTCATCCTACTACGTCATGCTTATTCCATCAGTCACTCCAAAGAAGGCAAGAAATGGACATTTCTCGATATCTCAGCGGATTTCCACGTAGTCTGAAGTAAAAATAACCCCCCAAAAAGATGAAAAACCTCGGTTAATTTAGTACAGATAATATATGTTTATTTAAAGAAAGCGACGGTGCAGCGAGGAAGATCAAAATACATGTAGTTCAGTTCAATTTATTATGCCAGACCATCTCAGTCACGGACTCAGCTGTTGACAAAATATCTGGCTATAAAACATAAAATACCTGACTGCCGTCAGTGGCTTAAAATAAAGCAAAAAAAATATTTATCACTGATACGGTGAAGGTTCATGTAGCTATATTTCTGAATTTTAATGTCAATCTTGTCCTTGAAGCTGCTACTGTTTTTTTTTTCCTTTCTCCATTATATAGTGTACTTACTGCTCTCTTACATGTTACAAATAAGCAGCTCTATATGATGCTGATTAAG